TTCTTCCTCCACCCCAATTTCTAGACCATTTTGACATTATGCTTGGCTGGAGATGATCATGAAGAGAGTTGAAAGTAGATTGAAAACCCTTCAGCTTCAGCCAATGACAATCCATGGTCCTCCAGATGTGTCCCAATAACTCCCACACAAATTCAATTATCAATGACTATTAATTGAATTATTAATTAAATATATGAACTTAGCTTAATGTTAATAATAAATGCAAGTCATTTTTTGAGATTTATTTAGCAGGACTGTTCTGGATTAAGTATGTTAACAGCTTAAGGATGGAATTTTTTTCAGACCAAAAGCCTCTTGTTAAAGCATGGATACACTTACTTAGATGTGTATATGAATCTCAACTTATATTATCATTTTAATAATTTCATGCTTTTTACAATGCTTTTATAACTTTTTAAATGGCAGCATTCAAAGCAACTAACTCTGACTTGGTCTCTTCCTTAATATTCACTTCACCTTTAAAGAAATATGGAAATACTCAGGCATCTGCAAATGATGCAAATTACATAATTTGCATATTGTTATTGTTGCTGTTGCTGTTATTGCAATAGCAGCAGCAGCAGCAGTGTTAATTGTATTTTTATACTGCCAAATCATTCAGGCTCCCTGTGGCTTGCAACAAGATTATATACAATAAAATATCCACAGAAAAGAAAAACAATTACGGAAAACAAATAAATTTAGCCCACCTTCCTAGTAATGCCCCAATCCCCCCAAAACTCATTTAGTTTATAATGGAGGCTATGCTGCCCACCTGTGTTTTGATATCCACACTGTAGAGTTGGTGGCTTTTTGGGAGGTAAATTAATTTATTTTCTTGCCTTTTTTCTTCTCAGGGTAAAGGAAATTAACCTTCTCCAGGTCTTCTCCTACAGTATGAAACGTGAGAATCCCAGGAGTAAATGCAGACCTGTTAGAGGACACTAGAGCAGGGAAATCTCTCATAGTCCTACGCTAACTTCATTCAGCACGACAGGCTTTCCTTTGCCTCATTCTAACCTATCCTAGCTGGGTGGCAAACTGCTGATTGTACGTTTTAGGGCCACTGTACGTGTCTCCTTTGTGGCTTCCTTCCTTACCCATCTCTGAGCCTTCCAAGAGTGCGGCTTGATAGCCATTTCACACCGTCATGGTTGGAATCACTGATTGATGTATTTTTGCTCATTAGTATCAGCACTTTATTTCCTTAGAAAGGGTGGACCTTTTTTTTTTCTAAAGAGACAAAATAAAATCTTGTTTCAACTACGTCCTTGTTCTTCTACTTTTTTAAATTCATCAGTCTGACCATAAGTATTGTCTGCTCGCTGTTTGCTCTTGTAAGGCCATATTGCACCATAGAGTGGCAGTTTTGCATCTCAAAACACACATCTCCCTCAATCTTGCCCTGTCACTACCAAGCTGGAGAATCTGGGCACGGTGCCTTCAAGAGACTGTGTTCTTCAGAATGTCCCATCCACTGCTAAGGTCACCTTGCTGCCTTTCTGCTTTACGTGACGTTGCTTTTCTTTCTCAGAAATGATACCTCATCATCCTCTCTCCTCCCACTGACTACCAGCCAACCAGCATCTTCCATAAAAGATCTGGATGAACACTCAGCCGGTCAGAATTCAACACTAGGGATCACTTAAAAGAAAAGCATTGTATAAAGAGTGAATAGCAGATAGCTGAGCCAATCAGATGCTGCCTTCTGGGAGGCACAGCTACCAAGATCATCAGTGCAGCAATAAGTCCCTCCCAGTCCAAAGTTATCATAGTTTGTGTGCCCCAAAGGCAACACTGGATTCATTTCAATCATCAGTTGCCTGTTTCTGACTGTGGGAGATGTTTTTAACATTTAAAAGGTTGTCTGGTGCAACTCTATTGTTGAGTCTGGGACTCATTAGGAGGCCCAGCTGGCTGGCTGCACAAAATCTAAGGAGCATCGTTGCAATTGTGTCTGAAGGAAGACATGGAATCATTTCCTCCAGGGTCCAAAGATGATACACAAAGGTGTCCAATAGAAGCCCTGTTGACATCAAAATGGCATCCCATGTGTGATGCCATCATCCTCCAAATGTGGGAATGACTTCCTTCCATCATTTCAAGATGCAAGTATGTAATTCATGCCATTTTTATGATGACATTGTGACACATGTATTGTCTCTTGCTCCCCCTGGGGATGCCAGTGGTGAGAGGAGTTAGTTCCACACATTTGGAGGGAGCCACCTTGGAAAAGGCTGTATGGAGGCTTCCTAAACAGCTTAATGGAAATTATTATTGCAGTCCAAATTTCCAGGCAGGAAGGTGAACAACGAAGATTCAACTCAGGGTCAATGGGAAGGGAAGAGAATAAGAACAACCGGAAAAGGTCCTGTTTTTAGAGGGATGATGTAGTAATAGTGAAAGGGCACCTGGAACTGAAGCCTTCAAAACATCTAGGGAATGTAAGCTCCCAGGAGAGGAGAGAAAGCTTTTACAGATCCTAGCAACCCAGCACTGTTAGTGAATGTATTTCCATGGACATCCAGGAACAGATCAAGACACAAATCCCTCCTTCTGCTCAACCATCCAACTTTGGCTAACAGCAACCCCATTTGTCTTCTTCCTGACATTTCAATGTCTATCAGATTTCTCCTTCTTTCTGACTGAACACCCATGCTGCTACTTTGCACACATAAAGGCAAAACTCCCCTGTCAGTCATGCCTGAATCCTGCTAATTTTATGGACTCATCCATGTAGTTTTCTTGGCAACCGTGGTTGGCCATTATCTGTTTCTATTTTCTTTTTTAATTTCTTAGTCTAGCCCACACCCTGGCATTTCATGGTGGATTCCCCTTCAGCTGCTAACCATTTCGGCCCTGCTTAGCGTCTTGAGCAGTGTTTCCCAACCTTGGCGACTTTAAGGCGTGTGGACTTCAACTCCCAGAAT